TTTCAGTCTCTGTTTGCTTTCGCCTCACGCCTCTACCCAGCTTTTCCTACAGTTATACTGTCACTAGAGCCGTACTGACCCGCCTGCTACTAGGTTACCAACTTAAAACATAAGCAAGTTTTACAATTTAAATTAAAATCATTGACCACTTAATTTCCTGCATTTACCCCATAATGACTGATGTAAAAACCATAGAATGCTAAATGCTGACCACTCCCTCAGTCCGCAGCTGGCTCTGCAGGGCCTCCCTTTGCATTGTAATGAGTTGATGAGGGTCAACAAAGACACTACCCCCAGCCTCATTGTTACAGAGAGTCAAAGAGAAGGACTCTATGCACCACAACTGGGATTTAACATAAAACATGTTGTCCCAGGACTGACATTTTGTAACATGCCAGAATGGACACAGGTACAATCTGATGATGCCATAATTACAGGTGGAGGATAGGGGCCTATATAACTGTATGAGAGATTAAATGAAATATTCAAAATTAGAATGCACAAATGTCGAACCATATCATCCTTTGTTTTTAAATGAACTGGCCTCACAAATGTGCCATATTAATTATATGTCTTAAAGTCCTTTTACCTGAAATGAAACACATTTCTGGGGATTGCAAATTGGCCACCACCACTTTTCCTTATTGTAAATACACACGTTTGTTTATTTTGCTGACAGAGGAGGCTTTGAACTTTATGCCAGATAAACAAATTCAGCAATTTCCCCCACAAAATGACCTATTCGCAAGTTTTAAACTCTAGTAACTGTAAACTACAGTGTATAGGCACTGAATTAAAATTATCTTATTTTTTTTGTCAAGACTGGCATTATAAAAATAATGTCTTCTGGTCAAAATCACATGCTGTTCTTTTTTACTTTAGAGTGAGTACAGAAATGTGTACATGTAACTTCCTACACCACAGACAAACTTCCTATTGCCATAATTGTATTAGTAGGCCTACCTATTATGTAACATGAAAGAAAAACAACGTCACAACTGGTTTTAGGGTTTTTCTTTTTCAGCAACACTTATTAAGTTTGACTATTTCATCATTTCCAGTTCTGCATGGGACCGGCGATCAGGAGCTCAAGTCGCTATCAAAAAACTCCACAGACCTTTTCAGTCCAAACTCTTTGCCAAACGGGCCTACAGAGAACTGCGACTGCTCAAACACATGAAACATGAAAATGTAAGTTTAACTAGTGTTAATGTACCGGGAATATTAACTTGTGCTAAGCCCATATTGTTGTTGTCATATCATAGGTGATTGGGTTGTTAGATGTCTTCACTGCAGAGATTGCACTGGACCGGTTTAAAGACTTGTAAGTCTTTTTGACCACTTCTCTGGCTCCATCTCATTTATCGCTACATCCTAGTTTTCTTTTAGAACTCTTAATTGACAGCTTTAGCCTCTGCATCCTTACCAATGTAGTATTCACTCACTGCCCCGTCTGTGCCCATTCAAGACATTTAGTCCATGTGTGCCAATCCATCATGTAAAAGAGTGTGTCTCTTAAAGGTGCACAGTGTAACTTTTCTTAACTTATCTTCATGGAGATGTTATTGTTTTGCCATGAAATATTCCACAGTATGTATTTTAATAGGGACAAGCAGATGACCAGGACAAGATACAGATACTTGCCCACAGCAAGAATGTTTCTTTTTCAAGGTCTGCAATAAGAGCCTTTAATTGAATAAGTACAAGATAGATATGTTTAATGTCATCTTGTGGAACACTGGCTTAATGTACCCTCCTTAACAGATATGTTTCATAATGCACCTTTAACCACAGAAACCAAACATGTGTTCCACTTTGCTCCCTTTAGTTTAGACACATACTTTATCTTGCTTCGGTTAACATTAAACTTTCTTATCTCCATTTAAAAAGTCATTGTTTATAATGGACTATAGTCGACTGTTACTGTTTGTGCACAGTTATCTGGTGATGCCGTACATGGGGACAGACCTGGGTAAACTGATGAAGCTGGAGAGACTGACTGAGGACAGAGTACAGTTCTTGGTTTATCAGATGCTCCGAGGACTCAAGGTTATCATGGATGTTGTATTAATGGACTGGGTGTACCTTCGTTTTCTGTTCTATAAAATCCATGTTAATCTAATTATTTAGCAATATTTTCCAATTTTACAATACTAGTGTAATTACATTGTGTTTGGTTGAGATTTCTCTGAATTCCAAAATACATGTACACATAACTTAACCTAAAAAAAAAACAATATTGCCTTTGTCAAGATTAGATCCTTTTTTATTAGATTATTTGATAAAATCCAATGTTTTCAACACAAATGGAAAAAAAAAATATATAAAGTAATAAGTCAGGGTTTGTTTTGCTGAAAGTCTAACTATGTGCCTGTCTTGTGTCCTCAGTATATTCACTCGGCAGGGATCGTCCACAGGGTACGTGACCTTTTGATCTTTCAGACCTGACCTTAGGGGGTGGAGCCTATTCTTTTCACATGCTGCCCTTTTCATTTGCATTCCCACACAAGATTTACTACTTTCATCTGCACTCAAAGCCCAGACAGACTCAAAGTAGGGATTCAATGATACGCTGTCTGTTTGATTACAATATTTAAACATTTCTCTGCTAATCCACAAAAAAGCCTAAAATAATGCACTATAAAGATGTTTACAACATCTATTTGTGCATTTGTTGCTATTCAGAGTTCAAATTTACTGCCCCATATTGTGAGAAGTCATAAAGATGGCAGTCAACTTTCACCTAATTCTGTCACTTTTGTGGAGTGAAATAATGTGAGTAATTTATTTCGAAAGCATCAGTAGTTTGCTCATACTGACTAAAAGCCTTCTGAATATACATTTCTTAAAAAGTGAGTAGGTAGTAAGTTATAGTCAATGAAAATATGGGTCAAAATGACATTCACCGTTCCTTTTATCATGTCATTGTCAACCAGTCAAGTCTGAAACATTTCAAAACACAGTGCCGATAAAGATATGAGAGACTGCCTTTTCAGTAACTGGAATTAATGCATGCAGATCTACTGTACAGTTTTTTATGGTTGTAAAATAAGAGTTTTCATAATTTGATGCCATCTGGGACTTTGCAGAGAATGTCTTCTGGCTCAAAAACACAGCAACTTTGAAGAGATTCTTGTTACATATTTATAGATCACAAATAACTGTGAGATATTTCAGCACAACAAAATAGTTCCTTTTCTATGTATGTAACAGAAAAGAAAACTACTTTTTTTAAGTAATGATGATGTACAGTACTACTAGTTGTGGATTTTATGCTAAACTCTAATTTTGTCACCCCTTTGCAGGATCTCAAGCCAGGAAATTTAGCCATCAATCCAGACTGTGAACTGAAGGTACCAGATCAGTTCCAAAATGTAGTTCTCATAGATTTCTTAATTTATCAGTAAAATTTTTTTCTTATCTCAGATCTTGGACTTTGGTTTGGCTCGGCAGGCTGACACAGAGATGACTGGTTATGTTGTCACGCGCTGGTACAGAGCGCCTGAAGTAATCCTAAATTGGATGCACTACACACAAACGGGTATGGTACTCCCACTTCTGCTGAACCCAAACTACTAATACATAAATATTAAAGGTGCATTACTGTATATAGCTTTTCTAGAGCAGGGTCTGCCACCTGCTTGTTTCCAAGGAGGTGTTATTGCTCTGCCAAATTTGTAAATCTGAGGGATTACGCAGACATTCATCTATCATGCAATTGCAGATTTTTATATAATATCGTTTTTATACATGGAAAAAAATGCCTTACTGTGAACAGGTTTGCCTCTCCATAGATCTGATCTGTAACCTGGCCTGATCGTGTCACGTGCTTGCTTCCAGTGAGCAGGTGGCGAACCTTCCACAAGAAAAGTTACTTTGGGCACCTCAAAACATAACTAAGATACACAATGGATTAAAAAAATTCATTGTATGTTTATTGTAAAAATCTCTAAAAGGTTGAATGTTAGAATATAGGCATTATTGTGTTTTGTGTTTGGTTTTACAGTGGACATCTGGTCAGCGGGTTGCATCATGGCTGAGATGCTGCTGGGGAAACCTCTTTTTAAAGGAAATGACCGTATCCTTTTTGTCCTTTATAATGTATCAATTCTTTGTACAGCACGCACAAACTTTATACATTAAATCCACCCACATCAACTTTTAATATATGACCCTTGACCCTGGGCCACTGCAGACCTGGACCAGCTCAGAGAAATCATGAAGATCACAGGAACACCCGCCCCTGAGTTTGTGACAAAGCTACAGAGCCAAGACGTAAGTGGAATAACAATGGTGATGGGCAAAATGAAGCAAATGTGACATGCAACTCGAACTAAAGTGGTTATGCCAAATGAAACCTCCAAATGGATGGTTCAGTGGTTCAGGTTCTGTTGCAAACTGACAAAAAAGTTCATTCACACTGGTACTGTTAAAATAAAGTTCATATTCTTTGTGATACATTAAAATTCCCAGTAGATGGCAGCATTTTGTGCCTTCCTTTGGGTGAAGCTTTGGCCTGGAATTGACTTTGATTCCTCATTGGTTCATGAGGCTTCATTTTCCCCATCACAACTGATCACCAGAGATATTTTGGACAGAACTTTGACTAATTTACTGGCTGTATATCATGCTCAGTGTCATATTCAACACAACTTCAATGTTTCTGTCCTACACATTTCTATGTAATTGCATTCTATATATTGTGTATTTATTGTAATGGACTTTAAACTACTTTGTGTACACATTGTTGTTTAAAAATGCCCTTTTCTGCCTGGCTTATAACTAAATTTTTTCCCCCAATATAGGCCAGAAGTTACCTCAGAAGTATACCAAAGGTGCCCAAGAAAGATTTGCACACTATATTTTCCAAAGCTAGTCCAGATGGTATGTATTTATCTCTGTTTTTTGTGTGTTACCTGTAGTTTCTGCTTGTAGTTATGTTAACAGAGTATAATATGATATGTTTTGTAGCGGTGAGTGTGCTGGAAAAGATGTTGCTGTTGGACCCAGAGGAGCGGGTTAGTGCCTCAGAGTCACTGGAGCTGCCGTTCTTCAGTGAGTTTAGAGACACAGACGAAGAAACTGAAGCACAGCCGTACGACCAGACCATGGACAACACTGACCTGCCCCTCGACCAGTGGAAACGTAAGACAAAGCACAAGACATGGCTTTCTAAATATACCCACTGCAGTACCTAAAGTCTGCCAGAGGGTGACACCATTTTACTTGGAAATTTTATTGACTAGACAGCGGTTCCCAACCCCTTTTACATTAAATACCTCCAAAGCTTTGTCACTGTCAGTTTTAATAATAATATTTTCTTGTCTGAACAGTGTTGAAGTACATTGTCCTCTAAAACATCCCTAACTTTAAATGCTAATCCCCGTGCTCAGTGTCTGGGAAATTCTGGACTAGAGGGAGGTTACAGAGATATAGAAGCAACTGGTGGGGATTTTATTGTTAATAGTTTGCTTTTGATATGAGAAACCTATAAAAATGTATTGCATTAATTCATAAAATTTACTTTTTCTTCAGTGAATATGTTACATTCACTGTCATTATTGAGTCCAGTGACTGAAGTTTGCTGGAAAGCAGCAATAATAGTACTGGTGACAATACAGCATGTTCAATCTCCACATCTGTGTTTACTTTAAAAATATATCTATATAAAATTCAGCTCTAGGAACACAACGAATAACTGCCCCAAAGATAAATGTACTTCACTTTCTTTGCATTATAGCCTGTTAAAGTATAAGGATAGGAAAGGGTCATTGCACTGCCATCTCAAAACACACCACTAGGTGCCTCCTTCTGTTTGGCTTGGTTCTGGGTATACGAGTATACAGATCACCATAATACATCTAACAGTTTTATTTTCCCTCTGTGTGTCCAGGCAACACATTCACAGAGATCCTGACTTTCAGACCTCCCAAAGACTCCAGAGAGACCACCCTTTAAAGCACAAACTGTCCTGTACATTCAGCCTATGTGTGGGACAGGTTTGCACACATGGTTTTATCTTCCTCTGTCATGAAAATGTAACTGCTTCTGTTTTAATATGTGAATAAATGTGAATTGTATGTTCTTAACTGTGAATATGTAAATTGGCTGCACAAGCAGTGTTGTTTGAAGCTAATTAAATAGCATGTTTAAACAAGAGCTTCAGAATGAATAAAGATTTTCGGTTCATATGAAGTGTCTTGCTCAGGGACACAACACAACTATGCAAAGTTGACTGGGAGGCTTGAAATAATTAAGTTATTGAGTTAAGGTGAGTGTCTTTTTGGTAAGGTGAGTACCAAAAAGAGCTATTGCTGTGCTGTTTTGTTATTCTTTGTTCAGTTTAGGTATTAAGGATTTACTTCCCAAATGAAACTGGGTCTCACAATCAGTTCACAAATGAACTGTACAAAAAAACAAAGTTATAATATAAATGCAAAGAGTTAAGTGTGAGCAGGAGTCAGGATTCATTCGAGAATGAGGCTTTTTTTCATACCTGCTCTGAACTGAAGATAAAGGTTGGTGAGTAAGAAGATAAATATGAGAGTGATATGAGCTGTTTGCTTATAAACCTGAGTAACTCGGGGGAGCTGCACGTTTCCTGGTGTTCGCAACATGGATCATAACTTTATATGGAAACTTCATAAAATATATGGGCTGTTGCTGCTTCTGATGGGTAATACATTTTATACCTTCTAAACTACCTATATTATGATGTAACTTCTGAAGCTGTGACTTTTATGAGATGGGTGAAACTATAAAACTACTTTGATATGGCAAGGCACTAAGACTTTTTTATGGAAAACTTCAAAATGTATAGACTGAGAATACATTATTTCTTTTTTAAAATAACAGGTTAACTTGATTATTTTTTTGTCAAATGAATGTAAGTTTAAAGTTTTACTTTAGATTACACACTGCTGTAATGAGAGACTAGGTACCATCCAAAAAGTGGTGCAGTGTATTTATACATTAACCTTTTTACATTTTCATTATGGAGTGACCATAATTATTCAGTAATTAGGCCTCTTTGTCTGGACAGATTTTAAGAACTCCACTACCCCCATATATATTTCCATAATTCCTTTTCATATATATAGGCAACAAAATGTGAACCATGATAGAATCTACCCAATGTCCTGAGGAAGATCCACTTATTGAAATGTCACTTTATTAAATGTATTTTAAAACCTGCACTAAGTGTGCAGGCTATGTCTTGTTTTCTATATTCACTGTAGTAGCCTAGCACCTGTGATGTCCTTATAGCTGCCCTTCTTATAACGCTCTAAAATGCTCAGAGCCATTTTAAATGCTTGAGTCTTAATCCAATCTGCCACCCCTACAGTGCAATGTTTGCATTTGGCCAGTGATTGTTTTTCTTCTGACTTTAATGGTTTAGATATTAACTACATTACAAAGGGGTACTTCTAATGCCATAATTTAGAGTTCTGTACATATAATAATCATAATCATAATAATGCCACCGTTTGTCCTCAAATCAGAGTATAATGTTGTGGCCTGTTACTGCACTTGCCACACATTGCCTTTCCAAATGCTCATTCATCATAAATGACTTAATATTCTTTATAATGCCTGTTTTTATGACCATTTTATTTCTGTTGTATTTTTGTCCCACTTCTCTTGTGTTTTGTGTAGTGATGCCAAGATTATTTGGTAAAGAACTAAAAAACAACAACAGAAACAAATGTAATAACAAAAAACAGTAATAAAAATAAGTCATTTCAGTCTACACTTCAAAACAGTAAACCTAAATGTTAAGTGCAATTTTAGTTAATTTTAGCTGTTTGATTTATTAACTTAATAAGGTTGTTATGGTATCAGTAATGATTAATAATAAATGGTTACATTTCTTTTCATGATAACAATTTATTATTAATGATTAAATGAATTAGGTTGGCTGACCCAACCCTGTTACATTCTCACTTTAAACCACCATGCCAAACCAGAGAGCACAGGTGAGCCTGAACAAAGGCCAGGTGAGGGTAGGTTTCACAATTTACAGATGGTAGCTTTATGTTTTATGTTTAATGTAGTAGTTTCCGGAAATGGATTGCCTGTCAACTGAATTGGGGGTCAAAACCTGCCAAAACATACACAATTTTAATATTGTAGATATTGGCTGTATTGTCCCAAAAATATTCCCAGACTTTTTATTCCCAAAAATAAAAGAAAAAAATACAGCCTCTAATGGGAGGGTGTTAACTGATCAAATAATAATCTTTTGTTTTCCTTATCAGAATTTCAGCAAGTACTACTAACAAGTGGAGGTACGTAACGTGTAATTTTCACTACACTAATTAAATTATTTACACTATTTTTTTTTGTGCCAATATCTATTACCTGTGTTGATTTACTGGTAACTTTCTTTGCAGTGGACCTGAAGCCAACTATCATAGGCCCTGACTTTGTGACAGTGGGGGTGCCCGTTAGTGTGGAATGTGAAGCTAATTGTTCATCCTGTACTTACTCCATGTCTCTGGACGGACAGACAGCTCAGGGACAGGACACATCTCTGGCTTTCACTGTCAACTATTACACAGAGGACCTGATTGTGGCCTGCTCAGTAACCAATGGAAACCAAAACGCAACAGCTACTAAGAAACTACAAGTGTTAGGTACGGGAGAGATACTTTATTGCTTACTTTATTAGTTCCTTTATTTAAATATCAGATCAGTAAAAAATGTTGGCATCAGGGAGGACATGTTTAATATACAGTATGTGCTATAATTTTGTAATTGTTAGGCATATTGGTAATGGATAGTACACCAGAAGCTGTGGTGTATTTTAAACTTCTTGACATGTGTCCTTGATTTTTCAGTCCTTTAAATAGTACCTGTAGTATTTTGCATATAAATGCATTGTTTCCTTGTTCACTGTTTCTCCAGAAATAGTTATTTTAGCATGAACAGTTTTGAGAGCTTTTGCCCTTTAGTCGACTAATCAATCAATCTACACATTTTGAGGTTTGCATTTAAATTGAATAATCTGAAAGATCCAGAAATCTGATAATAATTGCATTTTGGTGTGCATGTGAACATACCTACAGATTAAGTGTTTTCTTTCCTTTTCCTCACCAGTTGGTCCAGTGAATGTGTCCATCTCCGGCAGTGGTCTCCTCAACCCCTCTGTGAGTCACACCTTCAGCTGCCACGCCCTCTGTCGGCCGTCTTGTGTGTACTCTTGGAAGATGGACTCTGGTCCATGGATCAGTGGACAGGGGAACGTTATCTCTGTGACCCCCAATGAGATGGACACATCAAAAGTTCTGGTTTGTAAGGCCACTAACACGGTGTCACGGCTGTTTGTCGCTGCAGTACAACAGGTCTCTGTCAATGGTAAGAGCACACAAAGAAGAGGGAAGAGATAACTTGAATTTTTACTCAAGGACATTTTCTTCAAGCATCATGTAAATCACAGTAAGTTGTGGTTAGTCACATATATAGTCAAAAGTACATGCAGACATGACCCCCTCTCTAAAATATTCATACAATATAAAGACAAAATTGCAGTAAGGGAGAGGCATGGTTTGAAATGCCAACCTTTGTCAAATTGCTCTACCTCATTGCATTGCAGTATTTATTCTTAAAAAATGCAAAATAAAATAAATAAATAATAATACATAAAAACAAAATTAATTAATTAAAAACAGTATGCTTTAGAAATTGCACTTGAGTAAAACGGTGACTTTAAAACATCTACTTCTATTTTAATCAAGAAGTCCACTGTCAGCTTAATACGTATCACACTCTATTTCTTACCACAGTAGGTCCTTCAGATATGAAGATCGCAGGACCAGATGTGTTAGAGATAGGAGGAAAGGGTTTGTTTGCATGCTCAGCTGTTTGCCAGCCCTCCTGTCGTTTCGTCTCATCTGTTGGCACTCAGAGCGTCAGAGGACATGTGGTTGAGTTGACAGTGGACCATCCTCTAAAATCAGTGACTATTACGTGTGAGGCTCAAAACACAGCATCAAGAAAGTCTGCCAATATGACAAAAACTGTACAGATTAAAGGTAGATTTCTTTTTAATAATTACAGTAAATTATAATTCATCTGATCATTTTCTGTCTATATATCCTAAATTTTGCTAATCACAGTGACTCCCTCACCAACGTCTCTATATTCTTCTACCCTGCAAAACATTATTATAGTTTTTATTTAAATTAAAATTACATTTCTCTTCCAGATGCTGTTCGCAGTGGATCCGGTCATTTAGAGGTGACTTCAGCTGTTTTGCTTGTTGTTGGCATCTTTTGGACATATACTACATTGTGATGCAAAAAAAAAAAAAAATAGGATTCTGATCAGTATAATGTAAAGTAACAAACATTATTACTGAGTAGGCCCATATACAATTGCCATTCTGTTTGGGTCAGCAATCATTATATTTAAACGAAATATAAACTATCTACTTCATAAACATAGTTTAATGTTCCTTTGCAGTCAAAGTAGTGCTCAATGAGATGTTGGAGGTTAGCTTTAAACTTTGTTTAAACTAGTTCAAATACATTTCATTTTTCAAAGAAAGCAGTGACTTGAACTGTCAACCTGTACACGCCTTTGCAGGGCTGTGTTCTGTTTACCTTTCCATGATTTGTCAGAGTTTAAGGTCAAAGTGTGGGCAGTAAGCAAAGATAGAAACAATTTAAAATAATGTATTATATCGTGCGATAATATCATTGACAGTCAAAATGGAAAACTAAACAGACCTAAAATGTCACAGTCATGCGTTTTGATAAATAAAAAAATAAAAAGGTTTAAAAGCAAGAAAGCCATGTTTGTATTTGTAAGTATTTTGTTGTTTAATAAGCTCTTAACTGTAGGCCTATGTTAGCAATATACAGTTCCCAACAATCAACAATCCCAAAATAAATGCCATAAAAAAACAATCCACATTTTGAACAAGACATTGTTCACTGTAAGAAATGCAACATTTGAAATATAATATTTGATCATACACCATACTTCTTCTGTAAAGATGTGACAGATGATGCCTCAAGTTCACTTTGGAGGAGAAAATCAAACAGTTCTGATAATACTAAAGAAAAACAAAACAATAAGTACTCTTAAAGTCACTACAAAAAATGACTGAGAATATGATCAACATTTGTGTAAAATACCTTTCTTCTCTGAAGATGACATAAACATAACTGCCATGTCAAAGCGTCTAACACTAGCTATGTTCTGGAGAATTTCAAGGATTACAGTCGGTGATTCATTCCTGCACAAAAGTGGAATAACTTAATATACGCAAGAAATAAGTAAATATAATAACTGTCAATTACATTTGAAGGTGTTCATACTTACTTTAAGTAAAAATCATGCAGTGTATTTAGGATCTGGTTAAGAACACTTGGTTCAAGAGAGTTGTGGAATATCTTTGAGTACACCTCTGGTTTCATTTGCTGTTAAAAAGAGAACAATGTAATTTAAGATTTCATTGAACTAAAATAGCCATAAACATAAACAAGTTAAGAGCTACATTTCCAAATCTCCCACCTTCAAATATGAATAAATTATTTCAGGTTGAGATCCAATCTTGCGCAGGTCTGCTTCAAACTGAAAACTGTTGGGTGGGGGAGGAGGTATGTCCACGACTTGTAATGATGCTTGAACTGATGTATCAGGAGCAGAAGTATTAATTCTAAGGGAAGGTTTTTGTGCTTGTGTAGATCTGAAAAGTAAACATTTTATCTATGGGGTTACACGTACATAAAGAAATTAACACAAATAAATTTTTTGGGAAATATTTTTACGCACGGTGCTGATTGGCATGCTGAAAGATCTGCAATTTCTTCAATTTTAATCATCTTGGCGCTTGGTGATGTTGACAATGGAGATGTGTCCTCTTGAGCCTTATTCTGTGCATCCTGGGACTCACTCATTTGTATATCAGGGATCAATACTTTTCCAGTGACTTCTTCTATGTCAATTCGCCTGAGTGGTTTCTGCACAACATAGCATAGGTTGAGTAGAACTTCACTATAAAAACTTTGTAAAGTAACTTTGTCTTCGTAAATTTTGGAAAGCTATAGATCAGACCATGTACTCATAAGAAGTTGCATTGGATTTAGAGTTGGATCCAAAAAAATGAATTTAACTACATAACTACAAAATACATGCTATTGGGGAATAAACATGAAATAGTGGCTTGCCTGACATCTGCTGGACAACTAGCGCTATGACATATTTCATTACCTTAATAGTCTGTAGTTTCATTGCCAGCATACTGAATACTCATACATTATAAATACAAACTTAGGCTCAGAAAGAACATATATATTCTTGTATAATAAGTCAAATACAGAATAAACAGCAGAATAACTCACCGTGGACTGCAAATGTTTGGGTTTTTCTATTGGTTGGATTGTTCTCCTCTGTGTGCAATCGGATGACTGAAGGCATCCACTGGAAACATCCTAATAAAGGCACAATATCATTTTGTTCTGCATTTTATATTTTTCATATTGTTGTTGGTCTTTGTTTGTACAATACCTGTATTTTCTGAAGCTCATTCAAAGCCTGCTTGTTCCCAGGTTCAAGTTTCAAAACCTCTTGGAAATCTATTAATCATTACATTACATAAAAAGCTAAGAATACAAAAACAATCACATACTTTTAAATGAAGACAGGTGAAGTCTGTTACCTTTTTTGGCCTCTGCTAGTTTCCCTAATGACACTCTGGCTGTGGCTCGGCGAGCAAAGGCTTTGGAGTACGTGTTGTCCAGAGAAATAGCCTTAGTGCAGTCTTCCTCTGCCTCCTTAAACCTAAAGCAAATCAATTTATATTATTTATAAATCATGGACATACAATTTTAAAACAAATGCATTTTAATACAAGGAATTCATTTTACCTCTCAAGTTTAAGGTAGGCCATTGCTCTGTTTGCTGGCAAAAGAACATTCATGCTGTCAGCCTCTATCCCTCTGCTATAGCACTCCACGGCTGCTTCATACTTTCCCTCTTTAAAATAAGCATTTCCCTATGAAGAACAAAAAACTACGATTACGCTTCATGACCAGGTATTCTTTCTTATAAAAGAGTCAGGCCTTGTAAATGATTTAGTACCAAGTATCACATATTTTGAATTATTGCAATGTATTTCAACGTAGTCAGGACTTTGAAAGACACTTTGGTTGGAAAAATATTGATCATTGTTATGAATTCATGGTGATATAGTGGCTATACTTATGTAGTGAGTACAATCTTACCCTGTCCTTTTGTAATACTGCCTCCTGTTTTCTTTGCTGCTCCTCCATTTGCTTTTGCTGTTCAGGGTCCACTTTTAGGACTTCCTCTATTGGTGAAGCTTCTTCTGGGTGATGAGCTGTATTGGAGCCAATAACCTGAAAACAAATACAAGCTATTTGACTAACATGTACACATTAATAAATCTTGATTATTACATGAAACAAACCTCCTTAATTTTCTTCACTTCATTCTGTGCCTCTGCATTGCCCAGATCAAGTTTGAGAACAATTTCATAATCTATTAAAGTAACATTGAGAGTGTTACTTCTATATCTTTAAATCAGGCAGACAACTCATTTTATACTAATTACCTTCTAATGCAAGTTCATATTTCTTTTGAGCATATCGCGCTGCTCCTCTTCGTAAAAATGCTTTCACATATTTGCTGTCTAATGCAATTGCTAAATTGCAGTCGGATTCTGCCACAGCAAATCTGAGAAGAGTATAATGAAATAGGCATGTTCATTAAAATGTAAATGTTGCGATTTCTATTTTTCAAAATGCGCAAAAATACTCGCTTTTTGAGTCTGAAGAAAGCTGTAGCTCTGTTTGTTGGAAGCACAGGGTTGTAAGGGTCTGCAGTCATTCCTCTGGTGTAGCACTCAACAGCATCGTCATATTTGCCCTCTTTAAAAAACGTGTTGCCCTGAAAAAAATAAGTAAATACTGAGTTAAAGAAAAACTTGACTTGATTTCTGTGTGTTTCATAAAAGTACTAGGGTACTTTTTCTTTCTCATTCAGGGCCTTTTCCCGATCAGCTGTAATGTCCTCAGAGTCAGATTCATTTGACTCTGGTGGGCTTTCCTCTTTATCCATTTCTTCCAAGACCTTGTCCTGATGGAACAAAAACATAAGGTATAAATCTTATATAGCTTGAATGATATTTTAACTGTACAATTAACAGCATACCACATTGAATTTGTCCCAGGACCTATAGTCATATCCCTTGATTCTTTCTTGTGTTTTCTCTCCTATCTTCTCATCTCCATTGCCTCCAAGGCCATTACTTGTCGGTTTCTTTTTCTTCTTTTCTCTCATCTTTGCCTTGTAGTCTTTGTTGCGAATAGGTGGGAGCTTCCTCTACAAAAGAAAATAAAAACAAAATGGTAATGTAATTACTAAATGTGCTACTGATCATTTGGATGGGTGCCGCTTTACATATTAACAATTACATTATATTTACCAGAATTTATTTATTTATTTATTTTTTAGAAATGTAATGAGATATAACTTCAGTGTTTATAAAAGCTTACCTCTTCTCCCTGTACTTCTCCTGTACGGAGCTCCTCATCCTTCTTCTTAATGTCTTCCTCCCAGGTATCCAACTCCCGCATAAAACTATGCAGATCTTCAGCATTTTGGCGCATCTGAAGCTGAAGTTCAATAGCTTTGTTTCCACCAGACATGATCTTTCTAAAATTACAGACTTTGGTTTAGGGTATGTTAGTGCAATTTCCAATTTGCAGCGTATCGTTAGCTGAATGCTGACCGCAAAGAGATACACGCCGATAAAAACTAACTAGCCAAACAGACTGAATAGTGGTTGCTTACTGATAATAATTATGCAGTAGTTACTCTGAGCGTGTACAGTTTCACTTAAACAGTTTAGAGTCTGACAAACGAACTCAAACTTTCTTAACTTCTACTTTTAGAAAGAAAAGTCGAGAAACATCAGGCGGTTGTGTTTGTGTAGGGAGCCATGACAGCGTGGTCCCGTCAGCCTTTGCTCTGACGTATGCGCCGCAACGTGCCAAAGATCGTTTATGTTAAAAAAAAAATTGTATGATAAAAGTAAAAAAATGGATCTATGAACGACAGTATCACACGATGAACATGTTATGTGTCGTTCTAATATATATATATTTATATTTTTATTGTTGTGTTGCACCTTATTGAAATTATTCTGGAGTTTCAATGTCAATTTTATCAATTTTGTATGCTGCAGTTCACGGTATCTACTGTGCGACTTACTTTTCTAAAACAAGCTTTGTTCCTGAACTAAACTGTAAATATATATATTTTAAATATAAAATTACATGAATACAAGTTATTTTGTAAAAACAGTTAGCACACATTAGAAGAAAAATAACGAAATAATTAAATGTTAAATAAGATGTGGACTTTACCTTTGCTTCGCCTGCACCACGTGACCTCCACAACAGCTATGACCTCCTGCTTGGTTAGCGGTGGCAGCTAATAGCGGTACAGATGCAGTTATTTCCAAATTGTAGATATTAAAAAAGAAAATGGACCAGACCAAACAAGATGAGGATTATGGGTATGATTTATACCCCGGAAGAAACAACTCAAAGTACAAAAAGGGATTTGTCACAGAGGGGCTCTTCAGGTTCAACCGCAGATGTCAGGCCATGTTGCAGGTCGCAATAGATAGCAGTAAGTACAGGATTTCTGCAGTCTACATAAAACATAACACATCCATTTTGGCAACATAAAGGTAACGTAATGTCTGATGCGTGCCTATTTCTTTATATGTTGGCTATTGGACCGCCATAGCTAGCTTTCAATGGAAGTTAAAAACTTGGTATTCTGTGACTTGATATTCTGTCTTTTCCCCCTTAGATCCCTATGCCAAACTTTTACTTGGTGCAATGAAGAATTCTGGTTGGTATGTATGAAAGTGCCACTGGCCAAGTTAAACATTTGATTTCAAAATCAAATTTGAAGGCTTTTTTGCTGTTCAATGCTGTTCAATTCATGTATTCAAATCTACCATTATTTCTTGTTAGGCTATATATAACCCATATGTATGTCTGCAGTACATTGCATTGATATTATCCCGTGATCTATTGACTCTGCTTCATATATTGTACAGCCAAGTATTTAAAAGCAGACATTTTTCCTGCGAAGACTGTGATGGTACAGTTAGTGGTGGATTTGATGCCGCCTCTTCACAAGTAAGTGCATCTTTCAATGATAAAACACACCGCACTTTTGACTATCAAATAAAAAATTTAAATAATCTTTTACATGTGCAATTTGCAGATAGTTTTGTGTCAAAACAACATCAATCGGCAATCTCACATGAACAGAGTTGTCACACATGAACTCATCCATGCCTTTGATCACTGCCGAGCAAATGTGGATTGGTTTAACAACTACAGACACCTGGCATGTTCTGAGGTGAGTGCGACCAGGACTTTCTGTAATAACCTTAAATGGCATGTTGTATTGTTACAGTTCAAACACCAACAGTGACTGTACATGTTTGAGTAGTGAGGCTGTATTTATGAGCTTTGAAAAAAGGTTCACAATATACAGTATATACCATGTAGGTCTCACACAAGTCATGTAGCATGAGGCTGAACTTTTAACTAATATTTTGTATGCTTTAGAGGCAATTAATAATATAATTTCTGAAGCAGCAGCACTAGTAGTTTATGACAGATTCACATTAAACATGGGGTAAGTTTGACGGATATTTTCAGCTATTTTTTTTCCGGACTGCAGCCACATCTGCCTATAGTGCTTTGCGGCTCATGTGACATTTTCTGCTTCCAGCTTTAAGGTTGAGATTTCCATTTTGGCTTAATAAAATAATGGGATCTAAATAAATAAATAAATGTAATTCCTAATTTCATCAATCATTAATAATGTTAAGTATATTACTATGTACGGAGTTCACTGTATAAATGTGTATTGTTTCTATTCTAGATCCGGGCGGCTAATCTTAGTGGAGAGTGTTCATTTAGTAATGAACTTTGGAGATTCCAATTTGGCCTAAAGAAGCACCACCAGGTATCTAATGAACCTTGAAGTGATTTCATTTCAGTTGTTCTTTCCTTACAAAAACTCTACCAACATCTTACAGAAATGTGTTCGAGCTCATGCCCTACGCTCTATCCTGGCCGTGAGGAAAATAAGCAGAGAAGAAGCTGAGAAAATAGTGGACGAAGTCTTTGACTCTTGTTTCAATGACCATGCACCATTTGGACGCATCCCTCACAGCAAGAAGGATGCAAAGTTTGCCTACAGATTTTATGAGAGCAGAGATCGATATGATGCAAACATTTAATGGCACATCTCACTTACCTCTCAGGGTGCTTTAGCTGGCCCAAAAGCTGACATTCTGTGACAGTGGCAGTTTTTGAGACAGTCTCTTATTTATAGCTTCAGCGGGGTCAAGTAATTAAATCTCTTCTGAAGGGATTTCAATGTGTCCTTGAAGTTGAAATATAAAACATTTCTTATTTTTGGACACTAATTCTGCATAAAGGGAGTGTAAAGACTTAAATCACCTTGGAAGTATTAGATGAGGCTGCAGTGATACTTTTAGGTGATCAGTGGTGCTTACGAGGAAATCCTTATTTCTTGTTTGTACATTAATGTTTCTGCAACCTCAATTGATTCCATGTAAATAGAGTAGACTGTGCTTAAATTTAAAAGAATAAATCAAACTCAAAGTTTTACTACATGTTTTCTTTGTTTTCCCACTACCCTAGACTTGTTTATTTCAAGTTTTGCAGTAATTTGTAAGGAGCAAAAACACCTTGAACAAATGTAAGATAGGTAATTTTAATGCTTCTTTTCTTTATGCTTTTTATGGAAGATCATTTGTCATTTCTTACATCTGATTTTAATCTTAAATGCCGCTGAATTTCTTATTTTGAATTTTTTAACTCTGAAATATATATCCAAGATGCCAATGTCGTAAGCAATCGATTTTTATGTGACTGAGGAGTTTCCTATTAGCTTTTCTGTTTTGTAGGCGGAGCTTATAGTTAAGAAAATTAAGAGATGAGGTTTTGATTGGGCTAATTATGACCAATCAGGTTGGTTCCCTAGAGCATTTCCTGGTTGTAAGTTTGATCAACTCATTTAGGATCAATTGCTTATGCCTTGGCAGTTAGGATCTTTGCTGCGAAGTTTTTCCACTGTCTGTTGAATTTGAGGGCTTGAAGATATATGTCCTTCATATTTAAAAGGTGAAAATGTTATTTAGAATTTTTAAACACATGTATACTTAAATGTTTAGAATCTGATGGACACAGAACAAATGATCTCCCATAGTTTTCCCATTGCATCTAATGCAAGTTACTTAGATCTGTGGAGAGGTAAGTCAGCTCACAATAAGAATTTTTAAGGCGTATAAACACTGGTAATTGAACCAATGCAACATAGGTTATTTTAATATCATACAGTCAAACATTCCAGATAAAGCAATAGCATCTCCAAGGAGACAAGTTGGTAGAAAAGTTACCCAGTGCACCTTTAAACATTTTCATGATCCACTTAATGTTCTAAAGTTGCCAGTAAAGCACACATCACACCAGGACACGCTAAGCTGCTGAAGAATCATGTCTCCTTCCACAGATTTTAAGGGACAAAGTTAAACGAGACTTAGCCTCATAAGCCCCAAAATACCCTCTCTTGCTCCTGTATATCTCTATTTCACCGCACATTCAAAAGCCCTCAGTTTCTCCTCTGCAGTAGTGTAATATACTTCTTACTGTATCTCTGAAGTGCCTGCTGACAAAACATGGGCACGGGTTGAACAATGAGCGTGGGTGGGATGGGAGGGATAAAGAAGATTAGGTTAATTTTAGCAGCTTAGAAAATGATCAAAAGAGCTTCTAACGAGAGGGATGAAGGAGGAAATGAGGTTTGGACTTAATGCAATGTCATACCCAAGTTGACAAAATAGACAAATTATACAAAACAGAATTTGCGTACAAATGAAATATAAGCTAGATCAGTGGTTTTACAAGTGTAATTTATCATTCATTGTTTAGTGCAGTTGTACATTAATAATCTTTATTCTGTGAATTATAACCACAAATACTGTAAGCACTTAGACTGAAGACTACAGAATCTTTTGGGAATAAACATATATAAAGACAATATTGATAAAAGATGTCTACTTCTACCATAATGAAATAATTTTGTTCAGTATAAATACACAGAGCAGTAATGTGTATTTTTATAGGTTATTTTAATTATTTAATGGATAAAATAGCCAAGACTACAAAACATGTATATACTTAAAACACAATGACTAGATTACCAAATTGATCCTCTAGATGGCAGTTTTGCTTCACAAGAAATCAAGCTCAGATCAAGCCAAATCCCAGTCATGCTATTTTAATAAAATAAATTACTTAAATGTAAATTAGTAGAGTGTTGCCGATAGTTGCTTTTATCACAAACATTCAACAACGTAATCAGTGATCAGTTTTATTTTATTTTTTATGTTTTTATTTTTTTTAATTTTTACTATTCTGTGTCTGTAAGTGAGGGGCTACCCACTGTGATGTAATTATGCTCCTGCCACAACAGCACACAGCCTCCAGTGAAGTGCAGTGGGACAGGGACTTAACCCACAGAGCAGTAATGAAGTCGTGCTATTAATTAGACTATTCCAAACGAACTCCGACCGAGCATTGACGATGCATGAAGAGAAGTTTGAAATGTGCAAAAAGCCAATACAATTTCTATCTGAATTTGAAGTAGGCCGGTGCAGTGGACTTGGTAATATCACACTAATCTTTTATCCTGTTACTTTCTACTAAAAGAACAAGTATATCAGGTTTCTTTAAAAAGTTTTAACATCTTACTTGGCATAATTTTACATTTGAATTTCATATTTTCAAGTTAGCCAAAGAAAGTGGCCACTGCTGTAGAAAAAGCTGTTGTATGAACACCTTCTTGTCATTAAATATGCACTATAACTTGGATGGTCTACTAAGGTCTGCTAAATAACACCTTGAAAACATGCATTCTAACTGTAATAGAGACTGCCTCTCCATAGATCCCAAATGTAATATAAATTGGTGGCATCACCTGCCTGTCTGTATGAATAAGCTTGATGCCATAAAGACAGACAGACTCTCCACCAGAAGGTTGCATGATGCACCTTTAGCAAATTATATATTTTTCATATTACATTTATGTATTTCAAGTATGACAGTGAGGTAGGTTACAACCTCTGAAAGTAAAGGTAATTTACCCATTTACTGCACTTACTGTGGGCAATTTAGAAATAGTAATAATCTAATACGTAGTATTATAAATATTAATTTAGTAATCCAATTTTTTAGAATAGTAAGAACAGAGGAAACCACAGTACAAGGCCCCCAGACAATATATGTTTGCTTTAAATAGTTTTTCATACTTTTTTTATTACCATAAACATGTAGTAAGATATTGCTGCTTTCTTTTCCCACGGCATGTCCCTCAAAACTCTAAGCCGGTGGATTTGTGTGACAATGACGGAGGTTTATTAAGACCTAATCCTGGATCTTATATCAGGAAATCCATCCAAACATTTACTGACACTAGTCTTTATGAGTCTTGTTTTCACTTTCTTTGTTATCACATTGGCCACAGTCCATAATACCCACATCTTTAAAGTCTGTAATTAACCGTCATTATTCTCTCATCAGCGAATTATCCGCTCAGATTTATATAGTTTGTTTTCTCCTTTTTACTTATTTGTGCTAAATGCCTTAAACAATATTCACAGTGCTGAGATAAAAATGCCTTCAAAGATATGGGCAGCTGGTTAACTCACACTGCAAAAGATGATGTCCACGGCAGTAATTAGCTCACGTTGGCATTTGGATCACCACTCTGCTAATGATATGCGTGATATTAATTAAGAGAAAGTGATTAACATATAACTGCTGGATATGTCCCGGGGTAGGAGCAGCAGCGGGTGGCTCTCCCTGCAGACACAGGCTCATTAATACTTCCCAACAGGCAGCTCTGCTAACCTTGACAGTTGAGAGTGATTCTTAAACTTTGTGGACTTTTCTTTGAAAGTTTCACAAAGAATTCACCTGTTCTATTGTCTTTTCATTTCTGCCTTTGGCCTCTCTGATGATATAAATGTAGATTTTCTATTATTGGGATGAAAAAAAAAAAAAAAACTTTATTCATGTTTAAAGGTTTTGCTTTGTTCTACTTTATTGGACATTTTGGGGTATTTTTGTCAGCATGATGAGTACCTGACCATGAAATATTTTTAGACCTGGTGCAACACTCTGTTCTTTTTTTTTTTAAATTGTCCCACATCTAGTGAAAAATAGTAACATTTGAAGTGCCCACACAGACAACCATGTTCATTCATTCATCTGCCATAACACATTAATTGCAGTTTTTTGTTTAGGTAGTTTTGGTTTATTGTAGGATAGGCATCACCTATAAACAGGAAGCTAAAACACTTGAAAAGCCAGCATGTCATTCAGAAGTCCAAGGACAGATCACCTCTCTTCCTCTTGTTAGTGATGTGTTGCTCTGAGTGGACAGGAGCCCATGGGACCTCCCTCATTGTGAGGGGATGAGCCCGGAGGGTGGGCTTGTGTCCCAGGTGAGCCCCTTCTCTTTGACCTGTCCCGCCTCCTGTGTGGTTAGTCCAGATAAGTGTCCTCCAGCTGCACAGATTTGTCACGGATGGATGCCTGAGCCGAACAGCCACACCCGCAGGGAGCACCCGTGTACACCCGGGACAGGGGCCGAGCTCTCTCACCCGCATCTGACTGCGCTGACATATATAGACTGGAAATAGGGCAGCTGTGGCATAGGCTTCATGCTCTGATCAACCTACAAGCACCTACAATGCCAAACATAGCTGGGAGGCTATACAGTGTTTCAATGTTAAAGCTATATTTGAAATGGCTGTTTGGTCTTATTGGTCTTACTAATCGACATCATTAATGTTACCAAGTGGGGATATTATAATTGCCAAACCCACAATCTTGCACATCCCACACTGGTATGACAATGGCATAGGTCACTGATTTTCAAACAGTGTGCCAGTGTGCCTTGAGGGATTGCCTTGAGGTGTGCCTTGGAAAAGTATCAAAAAAGAGAGAAACATGACTACTGTTGCAATTTAATTAATTTAGTGGCAGACACAGTGATACAGACATTATTTGCACTTTTTTGTTTGTCATCCATTTCACTGCATAGGGTGTAGGGGCATATTTTTAACAGCAAAAATATGCCCAGACTCAAAAAAGGTTGGAAAAACACCTGTTCCTGCCAGTCCATGCTGTCACTGTGTCCAAGGGCAAGACACCTTACCCAATGTATTAAGTCTATGAATGGTGGATGAATATTTTATGTCAACTAGAAGTTGCAGTCCTGCAAGCTCACTGAAATAAACAGCAAGCCTAGTAAGTTTAAAAAACACAATATATCCTACATACATTACAAGAAATACAGAAAAAAAAGCAAATCACTATAATTAAAGGTGGATTATATAATTTTCAGTACACAGCAAATTCGAGTGTTAATTCCACTCATATATTGTTCATTTTAACACTTTAACACTTAGTTGAATTTGACACCAATTAAGATTTGACTTTATTACACTAGTGTATAGTGAAAAACTAATAACTCTATATTGCTATGTTTTAACACTTTAAAGTTAACACTTTATGAAATAGAAATAGTGTAGAGTGTTCTT